GTCTTGATCAGTGTCTTGATCAGTGTCGTGATCAATGTTTGTGGTCCAGAATCAAGACTCATCCACCAGACCAGATACAACAAGTTCCTATTTGTTTTTGAGCTAATGAATTATTTTAAATGATTTTGATATTGTTTCCCTCTCCCCCATCAGATGAAGCATTTCTAGTCGGAGGATTATCTCCAAACCAAGGACGCCTGGATGTCTTCTTAAATGGGAGGTACGGTTCAGTCTGTGATGATACTTGGACCATGAAAGAGGGGCAAGTAGTCTGTGGAATGCTTGGTTATTCGAAGACAACTCATGTGGTGAAGAACCACTTTTTTGGCTTCTATTGGACCTTATCGATAGTTATGGGTAAAGTGAAATGTCGCGGTAATGAGTCCTCGCTGTTTGAATGTTCCTTCGTTGAAGAAAGTGATTCTTGCGAAACCGCCTCTGTTGGACTTGTTTGTGGTCGGCTATCAGGTTAGAGATCACAGAACTGGTTATTTGTATATTCCTTTCGTGTTTATCTATTTTACTGTGTATTTCAGGATTTCTCCATTTTGTCTTCAAATTTCATTAATACCCTGAGACAATCTCTGGGGTAGCTCACAGATCAAACCTTGAAACAACTTTTGGGCTGTTCAAATTCAGGATACGATTAACTCTTAGATCTAACCCACAAACAACCTCTGGGATAATCAAAGTTTATAACGTACAGGGCACAGCTAGTTCTCATATCAATTTGGAAATCAGTGTGTTTTGGAGAGGGAGGAAAACCGGAGAATCCGGAGAAAAACCCTCGAATCAAGATAGAGATCTAACATGTAAACTCTACTCTCATGTGATACACCAATTGAACCTAAGACCCAGAAGTGAGAGGCGAGTACATTACCACTATATATGCTAACCATGATTTCTTATGTAAGCTATAGTTGCTTTTTCGCCTTTGGTTAGTTAGTTTTATTTATATCTTCAATGAGTAATAATAAAAATACAAGATATAATCCACTGATTCCCCTAACGATTGTTTCTGTTATACAGTCAAGGCTCAACTTGTCGGTGGACGTTCCCCTAACGAAGGTAGAATCGAATTAGCATTCGGGCAAAAGCACATGGGAATGCGCAAGCCTTGGACATTGTTTTCTGATTCAAACTGGACAATTGAAGACGCGGCCGTGATTTGCCGCATGTTGGGATATCAGGACGCCATGTTTAGTGTGGGTGCCGATATGTTTGCTGAAGGCGATGGAATGTTCTTCTTGTTGCAAGATCTTAATTGCCATGGAAATGAGTCCTCGTTGGCAGATTGTAATTACAGTGGTTTAAGAGAACACTCCCTGAGTTCGGAGGTCGGCGTCATTTGTGGAAAACGCAACGATACCTCCAGTACGGTTTTATAATATTCTTAATAGTACAATAGACCTCTTTACCTTGAGCGTATTGTATTTTCATTTCATGAAGACCACGTGTCATTCCCCAGAGTACCATTTCTTTGTTTAACGTTTGCGCATGAGAGGATACCTGATTGTGGATACAATTCAAACAAAGAATCTTATTCTCAAAGGAATAACACGTGGTCTGAAATGGTATGGAAGGATAGTCCTCGTCCATGTAGAATGTACGGGAAAACTTTACACCAAAAGTATTCTAGAAATCTTTCAATGGACCAGAGTGGGGACCTGACTTTGATATAGTTTTGGGAAGGGCACGGGTACCAGAAAGTAACTCTTACTATCTATACAATAAATATGGTGTATCACATACGCAAACAAGAAATGGAACGATCCTAATTTAAACTGAAATTTGACTTCTAGTTGGGGAGATTTTTAATTATTATAGGAAATCGCACAATCTCGAGTACAATTCGAAATTTATAGGTACGATCGGCCGAGTGATGTTTTGAACATTTTCAAAATTGGACGAGCCTTTAGTCGAGTTCAATTTGAGAAGTTTCAAAACATCACGAGTATCTATAAATTCAGAATTGTACGAGAAGATTGTGCGATTTTTCGGTTATAATACACTCAAAAAATTTGAACAACTTAATTGGTACTCTACAGAGTACAATTTGGGATTTAATTGTACTCCTCTTGACCAAACACAGTTTAAGATGTCTGGATTTTTCACTAGTGTAAATGTTATTGAGGGAAGCCCAAAATCCAGATATTTTTTCCGGCGTCGTATGTGCATGTGAGTAAAGTTGTTTGTTGATTCTTTCCTGTGCTTCGAGGGTTTTTCCTCCCTCATAAAAAATCAACTTCTAAATTCTAATTCGATTTATCGGCTGCCTCATCAGTTCGGTTGCAAAACCAGTCAGGCATTTTACGCCGTGCACCCAGGAGTTTTAAATGCATTAGATCTTGAGTTATACCTTGATGTATATCTGGGTCGTGTGAAGGATGAAACTAATTCCGTTATCCATTATCATTTCTTTTCAGTTCCACTTCGTCTTGCTGGGGGTCCCTCATCCAATCTGGGTAGAGTAGAATTAAACCTAAATGGCCACTGGGGCACAGTCTGTCACAACAAATGGTCACTAAACAACGCTCGTGTTGTCTGTCGCTCTCTTGGTCTTCAAGAAGCAACCATAGCTACTGTTGGTTCAGTTTTTGGTCCAGGGAATGGAAGGATAGTCCTGGACCATGTAGAATGTACGGGGAATGAAAGCTCGTTGCTTGAATGTCGCCATGACAAACTTGGCTTCAAATCTTGTAGTTCTGAGGAGGAAGCTGGGGTTCTTTGTGGAAAACCAGATGGTGGGTGAAGTATTACCCCACATTAACTGTATAATACAAACGTAATTGGAATTGGAATACCATATACAAACACTGAGCAGTAATCTCGGACACTGTGATTGGTTTAACAGATTTAGTAATTATCACAGGGAGAAGGGATGGAAATAGCTGCCACCGAATTGGCAAAAAATGTTCTTTGCCGCATTTCCTCTTTCCTTAATTTTTCCTTTGAAAAAACGTACGTAGTGGGAGGGGGCGGGCAGATTTGTTTAATTATGTTCGCGAGCAAATGCGTTTCCTATGCTTTTTCCCTTTCGCATGGTAAAATTAGATTATAAAAGAATCGAAGTTCGATGAGCAAATAAAAAGTGAAGGTAACCGTATTCAATGAGGAGTAAGATGAAATCAAAGTGCATACTATAATTACTTTTTACAGCTCACCTATGTACTGTATTAGTCCTTACTATAGCCAGGAAATTTAGCCCTTATTAAAACACATCATCCTAAAGTCAATTTTTTTTGAAGTCCGTTTTCAGTTGACTGGTAATGGATCAACGAGGAACCAGGGTGTGGTGAGGGTTAGTCTAAATGGACTCGATGGATCAATATGTAACGAAGGATGGGACACTAATGATGCTACTGTACTGTGCAGGACGCTCGGTATCAGTGATGTGGGGTATCCCGTTAACAATCAAGCATTTGGACCAGCCAATGGCGTTACTCTTTTGAGGAACGTCTTCTGTCATGGCAACGAGACAGATATTATGTTATGTGATCGTACCGACATAGGAACCAAACTGGGCTGTTCCCATGGCAACGATGCTGGGGTTATTTGTGGGCCAACAAAAGGTATAAGATTTAGTTAAATTATAAAAAACTTCCTTATATAGATAATTTAATCATGTTGTCTTCTTTTAGCACGTCTTGTTGGTGGACCGACTTGGAATCACGGGCGTGTCGAAATAAATATTGAAGGAGTCTGGAACCGAGCTGTTTGGGGCGAAATGCATGACGGGACTGTACCAGAGGTTATCTGCAAAATGATTGGTCTGCCAGTTACGGGGTATTCAGTATCAATTGCATTGTATAGCACAAATAGTACTGATTCAAGTTTTGTTTCTGATATAAAGTGCTATAAGACTAAGGCAAAGTCAATCTTGGAGTGTCCCTTTAAGTACAGAAAAAGGATCGCTTCCCCCAAAGACTATCAAGTGACCTGTGGACCTCCAACAGGTAAGCGCTTATTATATTATATGAGCTATTTTAGAAAAAAGTTCAATGGGAAAACGGCGTTAGGTCAAATAATTGATAGGCACTGAATAGGAGATCATTCTAAGATCCAACTGTTATGATTGATTTTGGCTTCATAAAACTGATCTACTTCATCAAAGCTGTACTTTGCGAGATTAAGGTCAGCCATGTTACTTACAGCGGTTTTATTGCATATTAGGCAATGCTTCGATTCTCAACGTTACCTCCAATACAAGTTACATATCTCAGCCAGAAAATGCACTGGATGATGACCCAGACACATGTTCCTTTGTAAATACGGTAGGAGGAAAAGTAGCTAGCAGTACATAACTTGTCGTGTTGTCGTGTTGTCGTGTTGTCGTGTTGTCGTGTTGTCGTGTTGTCGTGTTGTCGTCTTGTCGTCTTGTCGTCTTGTCGTCTTGTCGTC